AGTTACTTCCACAAGGAAGGCATTCCCCGATCCGCAACCTGGAGACGCGCCCGATAGCGTACAGCTTCAAGTCAAAAAGTCGCTCACAAGAAAGCAGCTCCACATCTTCTAAGTCGTGTCCAGCGAACGCTGTTTCCATGAACTCGTCAACAGCGAAGTCAAAGATGAAAGGTGACAACGGGCAGTCTTGTCCCAGATCGCTGGAGATACTGATGGACGGTGACATTTTGCCATAAACCCTCACTTTGCCCGAACTATGTGCGTACAGCGATCTTATGACATGTACATATTTCACAGACATACCTTTCCTCATTAGACAGTCCCAAATGCCATACCTATCAGCAGAAGCAAAGGTCCCTTTGATATCTAGAAACACGATTATGGTGGGTCGTCAACAAAAATGACAATGCTCCAACGATTGACGCAAAGTGATGATCCATACAACCTCGACCTCGACAAAACCCCGTCTGCCCCCCCACGAAGCTGACTTTCACGAGTGCCAGTCAGTCTGTGGAGAACGACAGACGTAAACAGTTTAGAGGTAATTGAGATCAAACTGAATCCTTTATGACTGCGGCAATCGGAAGTGGAGCCTCACTTGAAAATTGGGACTATAACGAAGCGGCTCCAGTCAGTTGGGACAGTTTCCTATCCCCACAGTTTCATTAGTAACTCGTGTAAATCATCTGCAAGAGCAGGTGCGCCGAATTCGAAGAGGGCTGGGGGAATTCTATCTGGCCAGCGGCCTTACTCAATTTCAACAGTCTGATCTCATGTCCGATTTCTATGCGTGAGGGCGGATCCACGGGAACGGCGCAGGGAGTAGGGCGATCAATGACTGGTGGAGAAGCCGACAACTATGAATGATGGAAGTGCTTCTCAAGGTGTTCGACCCAACGCTCCAAGCGTTTTGACAAGCTGTGGATTGGCTGTCCCCTCTCGTCGCGCATAGTCCCCTGCTGCCCGTTGCTCGTAGCAGAAGGAATAACGTCCGGTGGTTACCAACGGCAGCCGCAGTTTCCATTTCCGGTGCACGATGAGACCACCATACTTAGTGGTCTCTCTTCAGGCTAGCATGCAGTTTTGTCCTGAGGTTTTTGCGAGTCTCAGTATGTTCGCTACAAGTCGGAATACGTCGGCGTGCATCCAGAGACTGTATAGACCCAATGTCCAGGTTGGTAATTTGAGTTGCCACATGAAAACATGCCTGCTCATGGTAACGTTTAGCGAATATGCGAGCAATGATCTTCAACTGTGTTCAGTAGGCGCTTACGCAGCCCGGATGCCAGCGTACTTTGATACGTATGCAGAACACCTGGTTTCGCCAGTTGGCTGGTATCCAGGCGCGTACAACGACGTTGCGGACGTTCGCCGAAACGCACCCGATGGTCAGCACACACAAGAATGTGATCGGAATCTATGCTCGTGTTCCAAATTGGGAGACCGTTTTAGACACAGCCTCTCCAGCGGTAACTGATCGCGTTGTGATCGATTTGCGTCCATGGCTGGTGGGCGCCAAGCCACTCTTTTGCTAATGTCGAAAATTAGTGAAGGCAAGAAACAGACGAGCATCTTCACACAGGTGTAGCAACTGCTCACCATTATCATCAAGAGCCTACACTTTGTTGGTCGCCAAGATAAAGCTCATAAAAGGATAATTTTCCGTATTGGGTGTTCAGAAGAGCAGCAAGCACCACGGTATCCGTACTTTTTCTGTAACGGGGAAGAGCGTACAGTTGGTGATAAAATTCATCTTTCGCGGAGTTAGTGTTCAAGTTTGTGGGCGCTTAGGCCACAATGGTGGACAAACTCTGTCTCCGCGCGAATGCGGAGCCCGAAACGAGCCGACCAATCTAACGGCGCACATCCGGCTGTTGAATGCAATTAGGGCAAGTTCAACCCGGGGACTGAAAACAATGCCCACACCGGCTTGACTGGCATTTGAAACTGCGTCATCTCCAGACAGGCGCAATGAGATTGTGCCGCCAGTGTCGCAAGTGGGGGAGCTCCGATCTTGTAGGCGGATTTCCGATAAGCAGCAAATATCGATCAATAGGGTCTCTAGTGTTCGGGCAAATGGTGCCTTTTGGTCAATGTGTAATAAAGTGCGCACGCTGAAGCATGTCAATCTAAGCGAGGATCGGGGACTTTAAAGAGAAACGGACTAACTGACGTTTCCCTCTTGGATGAACATGGACTTGTCGGCCGGATTGGAGCGGCGCTCTGCGATTGAGTGAGCTGAAAATAGTAGACAAGTGACTACTGAAGCAAGTCGGAGAGGGTCAAGAATTGAGGAACTGAAAACAGGGGGATAAAAGAGGTTGGAAAGGGACGTTAAGGATGAAAAAGCCAAAAATGAAGGAGAAGAATGCTTGAGCAGTAGCATCTAAACCTCTAGAGACCCTGTTCAACTCAGCAGATAGGGCGCCGTTAGTTATCCTCTGCGACGACCAGAGCATCAAGGTAAAACCATTGAGTTGTACTGCGTGGGCAAGATCCCGTCAAGTTGTCCAGACCTAGACAGGAGAACGATTAGGGTTCCCAACCAAAGCCTTTGGTTCAAAAACTTGTCCGCAAGGCAGCGAGGTTTTGGCACCGGGCTAGACAGAGTCCGTTTTATGGAGTAACAAGCCACCCTCACTCCTAACCCCAACTTGGAGGACCGGCGGACTGAAATTCGCTTCGAGTCGGAGTAAGTCGGTAAGCATCCAGAAGTTGCAGAGACCGCGAAGATACCCAATGCCCATGTTGGCTAGTGTATTTACATGAGGATTTATCTACTGCTAGAAAGGTCTGGTGAACATGTGACCAGTGACATTCAATCATATTCAGTAAGCGCCTACTCAACGCGAACGTCGACGTACTTCGATACGCATGCGTTACATCTGGCTTCGCCAGTTGGCTGGTGTCCTTGCGCTCCAAGGGTTGTCAAGCGCGTCCGCCAAAAGGTACCAGCATATCAGCACATCCAAGTGCATGATCAGTGCCCACACATGTGCTCCAAATGGAGTTATGGACGCTGTCCCTCCAGCGTTAAGTGATCGTATTGTGATCCATTTGCATCCATGGCTGGTTCGAGGCTGGTGGGCGCTTTGTCAGTAGCCGGTACTGCGTACCGACGTACTGCTGATACCTCCCTCTACTGAGTCATGTCACCCTCCGGCGGGTGCTGTGTCGGAAATTAGTGTTCGCAAGATAGAAGCGGGCACTTTCCCTCAAACGGAGTAACCGCTCACTGTTCTCAGTACAGAAGCCTACATCGTGTTGGCGGCCCGGATGCAGTACATCGGCGGATAATTTTCCAACTTGAGCGTTCAGATCCCCAACCAGCACTACAGTGTCCGAGCCTCTTCTGTAGCGAAGGAGCTCGCTCGGTTGTCGGTACAAGGCGTCTTTTATCGAATCATCGCTACAGTTTATGGGTGCGTAGGCTGCGATGAAAATAGACATCTATTAGTCCCGCGCGACTTGGAAGCTTTGAACGAGTCAGCCAATCGGACCGCACACATCCGGCTACTGATTGGATAGAATCAACCAGATCAGCTTCAGCCCGGCGACTCATGGCAATAGAAAAAGTGACTTGGCTGGTACTCGAAGCTTCATCGTCTCCGGATGGGCGCAATGAGAAAGTACTGCTGGTGTCATCTGGAGGAGATCGCAAAGTGAGCACAGAGCTCGAGTCTTGCAGGCGGGTTTCCGAGAGACAGCAAATATGGATCAAAGGGGTCTCTAATTTTCGGGCAAAGTCGTTACACCGGGCTTGTACGCTTGGTTAGACACGGGCTTGTTGATAGGGCAAGAGTGACGCTCCGCGTTTACATGTGAAGTGAAACGTCTATCAAAGCATGGTGGAGGAAGGCCAATAATTGAGGGGTTTAAAACAGAGGGATAAAAGTGAAGTTGGAACGGGACGATAAGGGCGAAAATTCCTGAGGGGTAGTCATAAGACGGGAAGACTTGAGTAGTTGCATCCAAACACCAATCCACCCAGCTCGATGCAGTAGATAGGGCGCGGTTAATTATCCTCTGCGATGGCAGGATACTGTCGGGTCGCCCAGTTCAAGACAGAACGAGTAGGGTTCTCAAACAAATCCTTTGGTTAAAAACCCGGTCGCAAGGCAGTGGGTTTGGCAATGGGCTATGAGGAGTCCGCTTTAAGGAGCCACTCACTTCAAGTCCCAACCTGCAGAAATAGCAGACCGAGTTTGTTTAGTTAATAACCATTGACCAATCTGGTATAAGTGCCACTGTAGGTGCAAAAAGCACCACTCAGGATAGCTCGATGGATCGTTGAGGCACACAAACTATCGCACCACGGTAAGGTTAAGCCTTACTGTTAGTGCTAGATCGTTGAACAAAATGGCAACTTGGTTGTAAAGTAGATGAAGCATACTTTCGGATGCAAAAGTGTAGATGGAAGTTAAATCGCTGAGTTTATAGCTAACCAGTGCTGCGGTGCATTTATCCAAATCCGTTTAAAGACAAAAAATAACACTTCACATAATAGATGCCTACCAAAAGCTCTCACGACTAAAATTGGGCATTTTGTTTCACACTATTATATCACAACTACGCCCTGGTACACTTCACACCAAATGGGTTTTCCGTCATGTACAACCGCCCAGTTCAGTGACCCGAGGTTGCACTTGTTTATAAGTACAAGGTGATATTGTTTCGCAACATCAGAAATTAGTATGAAGGTCAAGGATGCGCCCATGCACACGTACAAATCCTATGATAAAATAAGGTATATTATTGGATTCATGAGACATGTTTTATTCAGCGTGATCAAGTTATTGGTTACAATCTGATATGGTGGATAGTCAGCTTAAGTAGGGATACCGCACGAATGAGCCTATTCCTAGGGTTCGGAGTCATTCATCCCTAATGCAAGGGTTATCGTGATGAATTAGTAACGTATAAATTTAAGTAGAGCGGGAGAGACCAACCTTTGCAGGCTATTGCAAATCAACATATGGGAGCAAGAAAAGAAGACTTACGATCCCGTATGTGGTCCCATTCGATCCCAGTAAAGAAGGGATGCTCCTTGAACTCGTGAATGCCAGCTCGACCCAGCCTGCGTTTTCGATCACAAATGAGTCGTCTGATGAGGTCGCGTGCATTTTCGGAGACATCGGGGAAATCGTCGGGTATTTTAAAGTTTTCCTGAGATTAAGTAGAAGTATTTGGTTACAGATATGGAGTAACGAGTAGGGAGAGTACGGAAAGTCAGTGACTCGCTGGCGTGAAATGTCAGTGAACGGAAAAACGTTAAAGTGTGAAAGCAATCAGGATAAAGAGAAAGGTCTCACCTCAAAATTCATTATTTGGCTGTATGTTTCGATAAGGTTCTCACTGTAGAAAGGAGTTTCCCCAAACAACATTTCATATATCATAACTCCTAATGACCAAAAATCGCACTCTACTCCGTAAGTTCCATGGTTGTCTTCTGTAGCACGTAGAATTTCTGGAGAAATGTAATCCGGAGTTCCAACTGCGGTGCTGTTCTTCACTAATCCATTATCACCCAACTTAAGACAGGAACCAAAATCAGCGAGTACAATGTGGCCGGAGCTGGAGAGGTTACAGAATGAGATAGAAAACGTGACATTGGGGTGGAGGAACAAATTGAAATGGCAAATACGTACAAGATGATCAAGAGATGAAACGTTACAGTTAACCGACATTAATAGAGAAGCAAGGCAAGAGTGTGCAAAATAAGTGAAAGACCAAGCGCTCGCCCAACTCAACACGACTGATCGATAGTTTCACATGGGAATTACCGATGGAATTGCTATGGGTGGCCATATCTTTCACTGTTGGCAGACGAAAGACATCAGCAGTACGCCGGTACGCAGTATCCATGCTTGGCTGCCGCGCAAACGCTGTCGGCTGCACATAGGCTGAGTACTGCGAGATCCGCCTGGTTCCTACATCTTTGGATTACAGGGCAAGCTTGATATCGTTGGCTGCTTCAATGAGAAACACTTCGGACTAAAATTGGTCACCCAAAAAAGTACCAACATCTCCTCGTATACATCACACGGTTGTATGACGTGCTGGAGATCGACTTCGTTGTGCGTTGACGTTGCGGTCAAGAATAACGTGTTCTCCACACGCGACATGGCTACATTTGATAAACCTTTTGAGTGACGAAAATCCGTCCGTGACCAATCTCAGTGACCCGAGCAATAGCATGCATGTTCGGAGGCCACCTCAGCGTCGCGTCGGTGGCAAATAACGGCATGTGGGGTGGAGATTAAGCGGTTAGCCACAGAGACATACCTCTCCAGGAGCACATTATCTGGTTTGATGTCTCTGTGCACGTATCCGAGGTTGTGCAGGGAGTTTATCGCCAATACAATCTCAGCCACATAAAACCGAGCGATGTCCTCAGGAATCTTGTCATCGAATTTGCTAAGCATAGTCAGCATGTCGCCGCCGTTGTAGAAATCCATGAGAAAGTACTAGAAATTAAACTTTCGGAAAATTTCGAACAAACCAGAAACTTTTCATCCTGGAACGTGTGATGCAACCTTGCTATCCATGGTGAGTTTTGGACTAAAGCTCTCACCATAACATCTCTTTCCTCTTGAAAACAGGCTCTCTAGGAAATTGAATATTGACAACTTTCAGCGTACGTCGGACCGCTTCAACATATCGTATTTGTGCAGAGATTTGAGTGCGTAGATACCACCATTTGTCTTCCATCTAACTACAGACACCTCGCCAAAGGCACCTGAGCCAATTAGCCGGATTGTTTCAAATTCATCTCTCTTGATCCAGCAATTTTCAATTTTATCGACGTACCGTTTCACTTTAAAAGAATGTATGCAAAAGCAAAACAATACCTGCATTATGGAACTTAACACAGTTTCTCTCCGACTTGAACTGCGGTAATCTGCACTCGTAAGCAAGACAAACGACACTATCCAACAGAAACTCCAGACTAACGGAAAGGTTATCGAACAGAGGTGAACTGGAGGTGTAAAGAAAAGTCAGTTCTTTTATCCTTTCGTCTAAAGACCGCAGCTCGCTTTTCATGACTCAAGCCGACATAGGTAGCAGAAAAGTACAACTTTGGGCAAACAGACTTCGGAACAGCTGTAGCTGCACCGCTCCTCAAGGTTGCGTACAATCGTCCGCAGAGCGAAGATTCGAAGGTCAAATTCGACGGAAAATGTATAACTACCCTTGTATAGGCAGATAATGTCTAGCACCTTGTACTAAGCAATGTGTATAATTTTTTGTAATTGTTACCTGGGAACTGGTAAGTTCATTGGGGGACGTTCCGGTTGGTCAAGTTCAAGTTCAAGTTCAAGCGGGACTGGAACGATAGGATAGATCCCGTGAGTGTTCCTTCTTCGGCGGGTCGTTGAACCAGGAGTTGGCGAACTTTGAAATACTGATGGACCTAAAACAAATACCGCATCACACCCTGTCCAACCAATTAATGCCCACGTATCCTGCCCTAGCAGTCCCTGCTGGGTCGGTTACGTGAAGTAAAAAAGACAAAAAAGTAAACGCAGGAGGCAAAAGAGAAAGTGGTAAGAGCTAAGCAAGTGGAATAACAAGATATTTGAGTCAATAAAAAAAGAACTGAAAAATGAAGGTGAGTCAGCTAGGAAAAAGGAAAGGTTTGCTGTTGCCACCCGAGAGCATCGAGCTGGCGCGCAAAACCCTTAACCGTAGGCTCCCTAACCACGTGATCTGGAAGAGAATTCCAGCGATCTATAACTCGGCGCGATAGACGAGTTTCCGTCCTAATCCTATCAGACCGTGGTTTATGCAGTTTCAGTGGGTGACCGCGGAGACTAGGTAACGTAGCGGGACTAAAAAGCCCTGACAAGTCCGGGCTAATCTTACCCGTCAAAATACGATAAGTGAGAATCAGGTCCCCTATTATCCTTCGGTAGTGCATGGAGTACATACCCAAACTGAGCAAGCGTTCAGGATACGTCTGTCCCCGTAGACCCTGCACTAACCGAGTGCCCACTCGTAACACCCTCTCCAAGTCCATTTTGTCTCGGTTAAGACATGGTGGACAAGCCTGAATACAATATTCCAGGTGGGGTCGGACGAATGCCGAAAATAGCTTCACAAACAACTTGGCCGTTAAGATTCCGAAAGAGCGGCGGATAAACCACATCATACGAAACCATCGACAAGCAGCCTTCTTCCAGTTGTCTCCAGAATGAAGTGCTGATGCGTGTACGACTCCTAAATCAACCTGCTGAGTGACAACAGGGAGTTCACCACCGCCGAGCTCATATCGGGTGGGAGGATTAGCAGCTCCGATTAGGAGAACAGAGCACTTCGCCCTATTTATGGGGATCAACCATAAGATAGACCATTCCCAGAGCCTATCCAAGGCACGCTGAATTGCCTCAAGACCCCCCGGGATATCCACAATATTCCAGAGCTTAAGGTCGTCAACAAACATTAATGATGACACCCCTTGCTCTCCCGGCAAGTCATTTACATAGATCGCGAACAACAATGGCCCCAATACCGAGCCCTGCGGAACGCCACTAAGGACAGCTTGCCTGAGCGAAAGGCTACGACCCAACCGTACGCATTGTTCCCTCCCCTCAAGGAAGGCAGACACCCATTGAAGGGCGCGACCAGATATCCCCTAAGATCTCAACTTTAGTGAGAGCCGAAGATGTGGAACAGTGTCAAAAGCTTTCGAAAAATCTACGAATAGCACGTCTACAGCGTGGCCACTGTCTATCGCTTCGGCCCAGCTTTCACGAGCTACAAGTAAATTAGTCTGACATGAAAATTCTTTGCGGAATCCATGTTGTGCAACACTGAGAAGGTTGAATCGATTCAGGTGGTTCTCCACTGAATCCCTTATCAGCTTCTCGAACAACTTGACTACTACGCTTGTCAAACTGACAGGCCAGTAGTTCGCGGGTAGAGCGCTGTCACCGCCCTTAAAAATCGGACAGATGATTGCCTCCTTCCATTCCGAAGGTAGGCTGCAGCTGTCCAGCGCTATTGAAAATAAGCACGTGAGCGGACCACTCAGCTCAGTGGCCAGTTCATGCAACAGCTTCGGATGAATTGAATCAGGACCGGAAGCTTTAGAGGGATTAATGCCTTGCAGTAGCTCATAGACCTGAGTCTCCGTTATGCTAAATTCAGCTAAGCAAGAATTCTGTGGAACTCATGAAACCAATTCAACCTGTGATAAAGAGGTCTCCCGAGCAAAGACCCCAGTATCCTGATCACTCAGTATACAAGCCTTGTCATAGTCAGTTTGCGCACGGGTCCCGTCTGCTCGCAATAAAGCTGGTGTAGACAGTTTTGCCCCGCTGCGTCTTTTAACGTAAGCAAAAAACTTCTTGGGATTAGCTGCGGCCGAGTCCGCTAAACCCTGCTCGTATTGGAGACGAGCAGTTCTGAGATGTTGCTTACATTTATTTCTATTCTCTCGATAACTATCATAGGTACTGGCTGATGGAGCTGCTTGGTAGGTTCGCCAGCATCTAGACCGTTTCTTGAGTAGGTACTTGCCTGTGGTATCTATCCATGGAGGCTGTGCCCTTAACCCTCTTTTCCTAATGAGTGGAATATAGGGTGCGGAAACCTCCGTAAGGTATGCCTTAAATTTATCCCAGGCTAACTGGACAGAGTCAGCCATCGAAATCTCACAGTTCAGAACTGAAGCCTAAGTTCGCATTGCACTAAAGTCCGCCCGCCAAATATTCGGAAGTAATTCAACAGCGGTCTCTTGGTGCCTTGAAAGAGCACATCGAAAGGATATGCATGCGTGATCGCTGGACCCTAGAGGTGCACCGCATGAAACGTCAGTCACGAAGTCCAGGGACTTAGCGAAAACCAAATCCAAAGTAGATGGCATTTGGTTGTCCATATACCTAGTGGGAAAGTCAACGAACTGGTGCAAAGGCACTTGGAGAGTCAGTTCAAGGAAGTCTGCACCGAATGTTCCTAATGCCGACTTGCAAGAAAGAGCGGCCCAACAGACTTCCGGGAGATTGAAATCCCCTAGAACTTAACACTTATTCGCAGACTGAGTGCGAATAAAGTCAAGTATCCCCCTGGAGGAACTTCCAGGACATCTTTATACCACTATAACTGTAAACGGGGTAGAGGAAGTGCACAAAACTGCCGATAGGGCTTCAACAGTCTGATCCGACGACTGGAATGTGCAAGTCCTCAACACATCTAAGTTACAGCTCACATACAGTACAACGCCTCCGCCTTGGCGACCAACGGAGCGATCAGTTCTAAGCAGCGCGTAGCCAGGTAAATATACCTCACCGTCCGTGATATCCGGAGACAACCACGTCTCAGTGAAAGCAAGTATGTCGGGACGAGATTTGTCTACAAGTAGACCCAACTCGTGCACCTTGTTCCTTAGGCTACGCACGTTGCTAAGTACTACCTCAAGGAAGTCGGCACGACCATCCCTGGGTCGTGCGCCATCAGGATTGGTTCTGATAGGGCGGAAAGTAATTTCCGGCTGACCACCTGAAAACCCACCAGACGGAGGCCTTGTTCACCAGCCGCCCGTCTAGTTTTGAGGTCTTTGATAGCCTCCTTTAACTTCAACCTATCTGCCAGTGGGAGGTCTGGCTGAACGCTGACACCACTACCCTTAAGTTTGAATGCAATTCGCAGTAACGCTTTGCGTTCCTCCGGGGTAGAAAGGACTACGCGAAGTAGTCGGGGTCGTGGATTTGGCGTAGCGATAGGAACGTTCCCCAATCTGGTCAGCTTTCTGACAGTGACACCAGGGAAACCAGGTGGAAGCAGCTTGCTGACACACAGTTTCAGTCACTTGATGTCATCCAAGATGCTTTCCCTTGGGAGAACAGCCTCAGATTCAGTAACGTTAGGGAATATAACGCTACTATCCGTGAAAGAGTCGGCACCACGGGGAGTGTTTACCCCACGTGCCTTTGATTCGACACCTATACCAGCTGTTTTCACCACTGGCGGTGGGACTGTCGCTGGCTTCCCAAACGACGTCGAAGCAACGGTAGCGTAGGTTTTTCGCTCTATTGCCGGCGTCTTACTGGTTCCAGGGTCTTCAAGCCCCTTCGAAGTTTTACGAGCAGATCTTGTCCGCTTCTTCTTTTGGCTCACTGGAGCAGGGGCCGTTGACTTTGTATCGCATTGGGCAGTTACCAGCATTTCGTCAGAACAGGCTGGTTCACTGGCGGCCGAGACAGTCAGCGTCTGTGGAAAGTTCTGTGTGCAATCGTCAGACGAGTTTATGACTGTCAAAGACGGCATCTCGTTCGATGCCGTGGCAACTATTTCTCTGGGTTTAGCAGAGGGCTTTTGGTATTTCCGCACCCTATTTTTCTTCACTTTGATCGGACCATGAGGACCGCCAGCAATGCTACCTGGATTGGCCGGTAGGATGTGCGACTTTATGATCGAGGGACAGACTCCAGTGGATGGATCGTCAGCAATGTTGCCGGCTATTGCTGTGTCTCCAAACGAAATATTTAGGGATTCTAAAATTAAATCCATTTTCGTATCGAGCGACGCAATAGAGGCGAGTTTAGCTATCGCCAACTGAACATCTGCCAACCTTGAAGCCAACGCTGAAAGTTTAGCACCGGTGACAGCCGGGCGCGTCGATCTTTTAGCGCAGCATTCAGCGCAGCTGAAAAGAAAGTGGACGCTTGATGATAGCATTTGGTACTGGTCAGCTTGTAGGCCGGTACAGCTTTCGTGATACCAGCGGCAGCAGACGTCACACTGCAAACCACCAGATGCATCTGTTACTGGCTCTGAACAGTTAACTTGTCCGCAAGCTGCAGTAGACTCATCAAACGAGGACACCATAGGTCCATCGGTCTCGGTGTTTAGCGAGACAGCCATGTTCATGTGGAAAACAGATTAGAATAACAACACGTATACAATAGGAAAACGACCGCAATAAAAAGGCAAAAACAGGGTGTAAAACGGGATTAAAACTGGGAACAACCGGAAAAATTACCAGTAAGCGTCAAAGACGCTTGGGCCAGTACCAATTTAATCGATCCAAGATTTCTTGGATCAGAGAAAATTTGACAATGGTCAAATTTCGTTTCAAGTGTTTAT